TCTCCTCACGAAGCTGCGCGGCGGAACTCAACAAGATCATGCCCAAGCCTACTTGGCCCTTCATTGCTTTTGTGGGATTTAGACTGACCGTGGCATGCAAAACTGGTCTGACAGCCACACAATCTAGTTTTGCACCCATGGGGACAACCAGCTGGGCAACAAACGCCAGTCAAGGAACAGAAGGTCTCCTTCAAGGTCCTTTCCAGCGCAGCCTCATGGCCCTTCCTTTGTTCCTGCAAATAGGATGACGCCAACTGCACAAGCACTCTCAGCTGCTAATGTTAACACCGAATGCCTGGCCCTCCAGCTTTCTGTGAATGTACTCAGTCTTCTTCAAATGCATAAGGAGGTACTTGCAGTCTCGAAAAGGCAGAAAAACAACAAACACCAGAATACAGCGCACCAACGCATGTTACAACACAGTCAGGCACAAAAAAATCAAACATCATTGCTCTTCTCCAGTCACACAGCCTCCAAAGCACCTTCCAGCGCAGCAGTGTGCTTCACCTTGTGGTCCTGCAGCAACCGAAGGGTTGCAAGAAAATCCAAGAGCCTTTGTGTCAGCCCTGCATCATCTTGAGGTCATCCAGAATTCTCGCTTGTGATGGGAAAACACACTGGCAGTTTCAAAAGGTCCATGGCGAACATTGGCGGCCAGAATGGAGCCAAACATTGCCATGGCCAACTGGCCAACAGTGCTGGTTACTAGCCAAATGTGCAGCCAGTTTGCTTCCTGGTCAAGGGAAATACAACACCAAAGCAACCTGTTCAATTCACGGCGCCTCCAAAGCACTTTCCAGGGCAGCGGTGTGCTTCATCTGCTGATCCTCATCATTTCCGGATCGTTGCCCACATGAAATTCCCAGAACCTGTCGATGAGGATCACTTCCTATTGAACACTTTAAAGACCATCCCAAGTCTGCTGGGCACAAACTCTTGTCCTCCAAGCTCCGGCAGTGATTTTCATCGTTCTCCTTCAACACTGCAACGCCAAACACATGACACAAAGCGCATCCTGTCCGCCAGTGCAATATGAATGCACGTATTTGCCAGATTTGGACTGCAATGCAAGGAATCCTTTCGCGACATGATTACTTTTGGGACAAAAGGGCTCCTTCAAGGCTCTTTGCAGGGCAGCCTCATGAACCTTCTTCTGTTCCTGCAAACGGCGTCACCAAATGCACAAAGCCTCTCAACTAGTCGCGAACTCGTAGTTTTCGGCAGGGGGAGGCGGTAAGGTTATCACCAGCTCACACAAAGCAGCTTTCTTGGGCAGTTGTGCTTGTACTGTGCATGATCATACCTATTTGCGCTCGCCGCAGCACGGGGTAAACCAGCAACAACAATATCAAAAGCGATCATTCAGAACAACGGGGCTGCGCACAAACACGTTCAGGCAAGTGGAATGCTGAACTGCGTGCTACTGTCAAGCCTGCATGGTGGAACTCCAGCCTGTTGGTTTCTTGACGCATAAAACTTAGCTTACCTTCCAACTGATGATTTCAGGGTTCTTGCTGCGCTGCTACTACTTTCCTGACAATGCCAAAAACGACTACGATTGATCTCTGTAGTTCTATTGGTTGTATAATGCATAAAAGATCACAACATCATCTCTTATTCTATTTTATACAGTATTCAACCCAAACTATCCACTAACTTACTGTACATACATAGCTGAACATTACGAGCAACGAAGGAACTGAAGGTCTCCTTCACTGCTCTTTCCAGGTCAGCCATGTGGTCCTTCTTTTGTTCCTGCACAGTGAGTGCTGCATCAATCCCAAAAGCACTCCAAAAACCACACATGGAACGACCAGCACTGGTCATTGGAGTGTTTCCTATTCTTCCTGGCAGTTGCCAGGGTATTCTTGCATCTCTTACATATTCTGATTCTTATATGCTATGGGAACCACATCTCCTTTCAACTTTGGACTTGTCTATCTGGAAACATTTGGAATACAATATCAATATACTGCAGTCCGAGAACTCAGAGGTGGGACTGCGGCTTTGAAGGTCGACTGGCTCAAGTACCTCCTTGGTGGTCCTTAGAGTGCTTTTGATTTGCAGGGGTCTGGGGAACAGTACAGATGCGCACGGCAACGCTGGCACGTGCCTCCAAAGCACGTTCCAGCGAAGCCGTGTGCTGCACCTGTTCCTGCAGTCGATGGTCACTGGTCCACAGAGTGTCGGTGAGAATCTCTGCCAAATCCCAAACCAGCAGAGCTTCCACTTACCTTCCACTTCTACTTACCCCACAGAGCTTCGTTTACCATTGCTAACTCAGCACAGTGAGTTTCAATTACTTGCTAACTCAGCCTCAAAGGGTCCCATTTCGGCCTCGGAAGACGAAGGGGTCTTCTCTTGCAATGGCAGGTGGGTCCACTTCCAATGTGTCAAGTCAGATTTGTATGTTTTGATAAGCGCCTATGCGTTACAGTTACATTCCCTATAGGAATCCCACCTTGTGACGGGATCCCTATACCCTAGGGATGCAAGTACCTTTTGAGAAGGTGATTGGAGACGCTGTTATGTAGGTTGGGAGGCTCCAGGTATACCTTCTTTCGTTTCTATACGACTGGATCCCTATAGATATAGGGATTGGTCCCTGGGTTTCAGACCCTCAGGTGGTCGCCCGAGGAGCACGACAGAGCCCAGTGGGGCACGGCCTTCGATGCTTCCCTCGCCGTCCGAGGAGTCACGACCGTCAGGGTGAGCGGACCGCGGTTCTGCGCTGTTGCGATATGGTGAAAAGCCACAGCCCAACATCATTGCACTCCCAAGTTCAAAGATCAATGACAACTGTGGTTTCTTGTGGCGCGGAACAGAACTGAGGTGAACTGATTTTTTCGCTGGCGCATGGGTGACTGCTTGGCTTTTATGGGTGGCCAATGACTATCCCAGTGCATCCCAGGCACACCACTATCTAAGTAACCAGGGATTCGTTCGGTCTGTGGTTTTAGTCTTTGGAACCACTGCGGACTACCAGCGACATCGTGGTTTGCCTGGATGCCTGCCCTGACTACACACGCTGAGGAGTGGGGTTTGGGGTCTCCCGCGCTCTGCCGGCTCCGCCCCCAAGGGATTCTGCAAGAACAAGATCCAGTTCCCAGACACGACCTGTTTGGCACTGGCAGATTTACCGATCAGTTGGGGTGGTTGACCTGGGGTCGTATGTAAAGTTTAGCCAGTCCCAGACAGGGCGTGTCTGGGGTTGGTGTCAGTGTCCAACTCTCTTCGACTCGGAACTGGCTGGAACGATCGCTTCGGGATCCGTCCATCGAACTGTTGTGCGGGACGACCGGCACGGTCCGGGCTTGGAAACCGCTTTTCTGTTTGTGTGTGCCTAAGTGGGATCAACATGTGTGAGACGGACAGGGCGACCTTCCAAAGCACCTTCCTTCGGTTTTTGCCGATGGCATGTCTTTCGGTGAAGCCCAGTCTTCTTGACAGGCGGGTGAGAAGAACTATGTACATCAAGAGAAGATGTGTTCGCAGGATTGATGATTTGTCTTCTATTCTGCAATGTTGAGCATGGGATAGACCAATTCCATATTATAGCTGGCCCTGTCTTTTTCCTATCATGAACGTGGCCTTAGCGACTGCGAACTGCTATACTACCACTTCAATCGGCCACCGGCCGGGAGCTACCTGGGAGCTAATTCCTCGCACCTTGTAGCCGTTGCACTTTCGTAATCTTTGCCAATAAGACTTGCTTGGGGACCTCCTTTTTGGCCAGGATCTTCTGCAAGGATTTGCATGCCTCCACCGCAAGAAGTCACACACAAACAGGGGGAACAAGATGCCCGGTACGTGTGGAGGAGGATCCATGAAAAGTGCTCTTGACCCAGGACAATAAGAAACTACACAAGGACCTTGCCCAGTGCATTTAGGAGGGAAGATGTTGTAGTTTCTACTTTCAACAGAAACCTTAGCCCCTCTCCCACATCATCCTGCAAACATCTGCAGACCAAACCGTCCAGAGGGGACTCCGTCTTTGGGGTCTTTAGGGCTAGCATCACGCTTTCCTGATGCCCGGGGACTTAGGTGAACGAACTCCACCTGAGGACCTCTCCTTGTTGAGTGGCGTGTCCCCAATTCCCCAACCTATTTTAGGGTTTTGCCCGCTGATGCCCATACTTCCGGAGTTGGTTTCGATCTAAAAGCATCCCCCTCCTCTGTACTGTGTTGAACCACATGTGTTGCCCGGCCAAGTTCGTCCCAACCGGAGGTCGATTTCGTCCGACGGAGTGGCCAGAAGGTGATAGTGTTTGAGAAACTGATTAGATTTGGAGGGTCCAGTGGATTTCTAGGGACTCACTCACTCACTCACTCCACTCCCTCCCTCCACGATTTCGCAAGATATGAAAGCTTTCCGTCGCCGCTTCCTTGCCGGCACCGAAAGAAGCGCGCCTCCTCTTGTTCCTGCCTCTTCCGATGCTTTAAGCGCAGCTTCAGCTTCGCCTGCTCAATGAGCGTTCGCGTCACGCCACAATGCTTGGCCTCTGAAATGGCAGCACTCGCGTCACGCCACGTCGTCTTAGAGGCATCGGGCGATGAGGATGGCAAGACTGGTAGAGCTTGGTCCTTATAGCCGCAGGTGAAGACAAAGAACATCTAGATGACAAGGCCCAACCAAAAGAACCTTCAACATGCAACCTTCTAGCGCCCCAAGCTGTATTTAAGAACAACAAACGAACACCAGGGTCACAAAGGGGTGGTGTTTAGTCCCATCCAGTGAGTGGGTAATGGGCCTCCCGACTTCCTCCATGAATCGCACCCCTTTGAAACTCCTGGCACATCCATTTCACGTTAACAAGATGTGGCCCATTGTCCCGAGTGTCGGTGGAATCCGCCACGGCGAGGAGGCGTTCCTGCAGGCGTTCGGCGGCCGCATGTCGCCTGGCAGCGACCTCGGTGAGGCTTTGCAGCACGGAGCTGGCCTCAGCTTGGGATCTGCGAAGCCGAGAAAAAACAGGAGACATCTTCGCCGGGTTTGAGAATTCACCCAGAATTTTGAAGAAAAAAACAGGATTAACTGATTCACATATCATTAACATTCCGGTTCGTGATCAGTTGGTTCGGTCTCCCTAGCCAGGCCCGAACTGCAGAAACTGGCAGGGATTCACCCAGGACAGGAATTGGACGGAACAAACCACAGATAAATCCAGGAGTCACAGAGCTCTGGGTGTACTTGCAGGAAGGTCGGGGTGCCCCGAGCTCACATTCCACGCACTCACTGGATGGGACGAGCGAAACCCAACCTCCATACTCTTGGATCACCGAATCTCTTTTTCCGCCCAGTCGCTTGTTCCATGAGCCCGGCCGAGTCCCCCTCGCCTTGGAAAGAAAACCGCAGGTGTTCGGCACGTCGGGCATTGCGGCCGTGTGTATTGCATATCATTAACTGCTCGATTCGTTGTGATGCACTCTGGCATGAGGTCAGCTGGGATCAAACTAGTATCTATTCAGTATAGTCAGTCCCAGGACACCGGATCACTTGGCTTCATCCCTAAGGCAATAAACCTCTTTGTTTCGTGGATGCACATAAATATTTTGGAGCTCCTTGAAATGAGTGAAGTGCAATGGTGGTTCGTCATGTCCCGGTTCTTCCACGTGACCGAACTTGATTTGAGGGCACTGAGTCAGGCCTCTCAAATACAGGTCGGTCACTTATCAGGGACTCCAAAAAGATCACGAACTGAAGAAGCTGGGGGGCACTGGCTGGTGAAGTTTTGTGTGCTTTCTCATCTGCCAGTGGTGACATGCTGCACGGCACGGTGTGACATGACCACGTTCCGACGACTCTCGATGTTGCATTCCGAGTACGTGGTGAAGCTGGTGAAACCTCTTGCGATTTCGGTGAAGCTGGTGAAACCTCTCGTCGTTTTAAACCCATGTGGAGTTGTAAGTCCCAGACTCCATGGGACTGCCATATATGCCGATCAATTGACCCCCCAAACGCCATACATGGAGTGTCTGGGAGTTGTAAGGTGCACACCGGCAAACCACTCCCCTGGTGTGAGACCCGATCCATCAACCACCTTGGAACCCCCCCCTCCCGCCATCACGTCAACGGAGCGGTCACCGAGTGTTGAAAGAACAACACAAGCACAACCCCCGGAAATACGTACTTTCACACCATCAAAAGGGGTGCGATCCATGGAGGTTGGGGGTGCCCAGCTACTCCACTCACTTGGGAACCAAACACCACCCCTGTGTGACTCCTTGTATAATATATATATATATATATCATCAAAGTATATGCAATTTTTCTTGGCTTGGGTGAAGCTTGAAAAAGCTCCCTTTCAGTTCCCTGCCACAAATGGTCTTTTTGATACAAGTGTCCATTGGCCCAGCCCGGCCTCGGAGATGAGGGCGATGAGGACGATGATCCGTCAAACCCACCTGCCCTAAAGCTCGCACCTGGCCTTGGATTGGCCGAAGGGAAGAAAAGATGACGCCTGCCGTGGATGAGGTCTAAGATGGGCCAGGTCGAGGTGACCAGGGAGTTGGCAGGGTGCCAAAAAGTGTAAGGCAAATGAAACTGGAGTCGACCCATTGGAAACCTTGGAATATGGGTAGAGTATGGTGAGTCCTTCCTGATTTTTGTTCGGGTCATTGGGCATTTTTGCAAGGAACTTGAAGTCGGGTCCAGGCACATACAAATCTTTTTCGGAACCTACTGCCACACCCCAAAACCGGAGATTTACATATCGGGTTCCTAACCTACTTCCGTTCCGGCTTGGAGGCGGCAGTAGCCAGGCAGTGCCAGGGGGATCTAACCTTCTACGGTCCAAAGATGTGGGACAGGAGCCCTTGGGAATATACTTGGACTCTTCAAAGTACCTTAGAACATGGGACATGACCCTATTAAACAAATAAAAATAAGCTGGTACTTGTCGCATCTTGTCGCCATTTTTGGCTGGTACTTGTCGCCATTTTGTGAGGTACTTTGAGACTCCAGGTGCAAATTCACCCGATTCTCTCCAACCAGCAACCAAAAGCCAGGCGGCGCATCGAGCGCTCGATTTCGCCCTGGTCTCGAGCATTCAACGCCAGCTGCAGGCGATGCTCTGCGACGCTGCGCTGACAGGCCTGATGGGAAGCGGACAGGCCTGGTGGAGAGGTGGAGCGGTTTTGCTCGGGCTGTCCAGTACGGGATACATGATACATGTCGTTGTTTTGCATTTGTTTCTTTCAACACTCTAATTATGGATCTGTGGCTTCAACTAGCTTCGTTTCGTTTCGGGTCTGTCTGCCTTCTGAGGATTAGATAGTTGGAGCCCTAGGGTACAAATTAGGATCACTGTGCAATGTCTGCCGTCCTCGCCATTGGCGGAATGTTCGATGCGAGATGTAAAGCAAAGCACAACCATGGACTCCTGAAACAACCCTCAATGTTACCTTGTCAATGTTCATACATGCATGGATTGCTTTGGAACTGTTCATGGATTCAAGTCACAGGACCCAGCAAAACACAACCTTGGAACAACCACAAAGGATTTGCTCCTGATCATTGTGAGAAACTCATGGAGCAAAGGTGTGGCCCAGAGGATCATCAGGCTATCCTTTCTCAGCCCCTACAAACACACGGCATTTTGCAACCTTGCCTCTCTTCTGGCATGTTGCAAGAACTCTTTCCCCTTCTTGATGCTCTCATGCTGCAGTCCTGCCGTCTCAGCTGCATCCAACAGGTCTCTGAGCGGCCCCAAGAGCTCTGCAGTCGATTTGCCACTCGCACGACACTCCTCAACTCGTTTCAGCTGTTCCACGAGCTCGGCTCGCACCTCCCTGCGTCTGGCATTGCTCTTTTCTCTCCTCGGAACGGAAGGCGCTCGAATGAGGTCGGGTTGTTCGAATGAGGTTTTGCTTGAACCCAAAATAAGACAGTTAGACTCCGTCTGCGGTGAGCGTGCCTGAAAAGGATGAACCAGGCTAGCCAGTTCTGCCCTTTGAAGATTGTTGATGACGGCTGTCCTGTCCCGAAAACAACATAGTGAACCTTTTGTGCCGACGCCAATTTCTGTGGGACGGAGAGAGGTAGCATCGCATCGTTGACGCTTCTTGTCGATGTGTCCAACGGTTCTTCAGTCTTCAGACTCAGAGATTTTTCACAAAGCCAAACGAACCGTTTGCGTCATTTGCAGTGGGTAGTAGGCACTTCCCCCCCAGTAGTAGGTTTCTGTAGTAGGTTGAACTGGGTTTCCGGTGCTTGAGCCTACATGGTTTCCGGCATCCCGACGACCTGGTGGTCGGTGACGGGGGTGAGGAACCTTCGGGTTTTGCCAGGGGGACCACCCAGCAGTTCTTCAGCCAAACATAAGGAAGATGGGACCTGCCATGATTTGCTGGGATTTGCCGGACTTCGGAAGCTCGAGAAAAAACACATCACAATGTTTCGGGATTTGCCCACAGGGAAATTATATAAGTCAAGCAAAAAATCACTTGCAAGCAACACCAAGTTTGCCTAGCAGTTGGGGCCATCAGGGGTCCGACCAATGTTGATTAGAACAAGAAACTACTCCGACACTGCCGCAACTGCATTCACCAGGACAGGTCTAGAGGGTACTACCGGGGTGCGCACATGTGCCCTCTCTAGCATGCAGCGAGACCAGTCACCTCCAGTCACATGGAGCCGGAGACACACCAGTCCATGGACCAGTCCATGGATCAGCCGTTGGTGCACCTGGAAGCCCCAGTCATGCTGGAGCCATTGACATCCCGAACATACAGTGGTTTCAGAGGCTCGATGGCACAATCACCAAGAGGTGGTTTATATGGACCCCCATCTCAAAGACATGTAGAGCCGGGGCGCCAGTGCCATGGAACCTCTGATGGCCCACTGTAGAGGAATCTGTTCATGTGATCTGTGGTCAAGTGGGGTCCTTGAATGCCATGACCCACCCAGATCTTTGGACAACGCGTACGTCTGACGCCAGGTCTCTTATCCAAGATCTCCTTGCCGTCTGTAATGAGCCGTTCTAATTTGGACGTCCATGGCTTCAATGCTCTGGCTTTTTCCAAAAGCTGCTGATAGCGCCAGGGCTGTTTCTGCAACAGTGGAAGCGACCTCTAGGGCTGTTTCCGCGTTTGGAAAGCACCCACACAGCGAGCAAGGTTTGTTCACTAGAAGGTATCGTGTCATCCGATTCGTTTCACCAGTTGAGCTGATTTCCCCTAAACTCTCGCAGATCCTGCTTTACCAACCCATGATCTCAAAAAACCGAACAGTTTCAACCACTCCATGATAAACCTTGCACCCAGCTGTACAAACAAGCTACAGCCAAACCCCCTAACAGGGGCCATCCTTAAGATCCAACCCTCTGAGATCCGGTTGGGCATGCTTCACCTGAATGGAGGGTCAGATACTCATGACTGGGGTTGCGATGGATCCAGGTGGCGGATCCAGACATCTTTGGCAGTTATCATGTTATGCCGAACCTTCTGCTTCAAGAAAACAACACGAGCATCCCAATTGTCCCCCCGCAAAAAAAAAAAAACACAAAACCACACGTCTCCAAACTCGCTCTATCAGCATTCCTTCAATCGCTGGTAGCCTGGTAGCTTTGTTTTTAGCAAATCTGAGACCCGTGAAATCAGCACCCAATCTGTCCCACCTGTCCCCAATACTCCGTGACCTACGAAACCCAGTCCCGTATCCCAACCAAAAACAAGTCCGTGACCTGGACGTTTCTCCAAGTCCCAGCCACGTACCCGATGTAAAGGATCTTAAAACATTGCCATATAATACAGTAACAACACTCTCATCATTTGTGGTTGGTTGGGTTTCCAGGTATATAGACCCCTGATGGCCCACCGTTGACTAGGTCAGGTATATACTCAAGATGCCAGTCACACAGAGTGTTTGGGTGTTGAAACATGTTGAAACCACAAACCAAACCCGCCATGTCCTACCATTCCCAATCATTCCCCGCCACCACCAAAAAAAGAAACGTCCCCTTTGCATCCCTTGGCGAAAGCAAAGAAATAAACCTAAAAAACACTGGACAAAAACACCGATTCTCCTCGTGCTTGCCCAGATATCCTCCTGTTTGGTTCGGAGATATCCTCCCTAGGGATCAGAAGGCACCCTTCTCAGGTACGGTGAATTCTCCTCTCTTTCTGCCTTCCAAGGCACCGTTGCACTTCTCCAGCTAAGACGTCGCAGCGCTCCTCGTGTTCCCGGAGCTCCTGGAGCTTCTGGCTCGCCGCGCGCAGCTGCTCCGCCGACACGCCCGCGCTCTTGGCCGCACGCACCGCGGTTTCCAGGCGCAAGCGCCCCGCGACGCCCACGCCTGATGGGACGGAAAGGGAGGCACAAACCCAGCGGATGGTGCTGCTGTTGCAGCCGCTGCTGCTGCTGCTTTCTGTGAAGCGGGGTGGAAAACCATTGATGTTGGGGGTTGAAATGTGGAGAAAGGCGCAAGAAATGACCTGGTGGAGCACTGAAATTGACAGAAGATGCATGTGAGATCGTAGATGGGTTTCTTCGTTCAAAATTCAACTGCATTTCAAGGAGTTTCAGGGTACCCGCATGTACTCACCCAACTCCCCGAGTCCTTAAGAGCTAGGCCAAGGTTGCGCCCTGCACAGAACCACTGACCCTTTGTCATCTTTGTCACTCACAGGAGGTCAGTTGCTTTGGCAATCTCAAGTTGGTGGTTTCAACTCACCTGAGTCAGTGATTTCTTTCTCATCTCATGTCTTCAAGGTCAAGGTTGAAACGTGAAACCATCACCTCAAAACACCACCCAGTTTAGAATATCGATCAGCAACCCAGAAATGCTAATGATATTGCTAATGATTGACCTTCAATCAGTAAGATGTGGCAGTTGCACATCACCCATTGGTGGCTTGCATGCTTTCAAGGCACCTAAAAGCTTGAGAAACATGACGAGAAACTCTCTGACAGGAGTGATCAAACCGTAGAGGAAGACAATGCCACTCAACATCGGTGAATGCTTTGGGGAACGCCACTGAAGGCACTTGCAAACCAGTGCGATGGATGCAAACCATGTGGACGAACATGTCTGTTTAAACATGAGTGGACAGGAGTGAGAAGGACCAAAAAGATCGGAGGGGGTGCTGTAGTGCTGTTTGATGGAAGACCTTTCCTGCTTCGTGGGCCTGCTAAAGTTAAAGATACATCCTTCTTCATCTATTCCAATTGGAACATGGCATGACTGGCATGACCCTATCATTAATGTATATTATATATATATATTTATAATTGAATTTCAATTTGAATTGCCAAAGGATTGTAACATTTGTGGTCTCTTGCCAGCTCTTTCCACTCTAAGAGGTCAAAAGAAGTCCGAACTTGCCTCGTGAGGCTTCCATCAACTCAGCCTGTGTGGATTCGCGGTTCACCTGCAAATCCTTCAAGCGTAGCACTTGCCGCTCCTGAGAGTCTGCTCACAAGACGCGCGAGTCACAGCCATATGGAAAGAGCATAATTACTCCTATAGGGCTCCAGTCCTACCTTCTCGGAAGATACTTAGACCCTCCAGACTCCAAACCTATCCCAAACACCTTCTCATCGTTGGAGCCCCAGGGTACTTTGTGAACGTGCCTGGTTTTGTTGCAAGTTGTAACCAGAAACTCTCACTGTGAAGGGTGAGGGACGTCAAATCTAGGCCTTTAGCATCAACGCCCGCCTGAAAAGAGGCCGACCATCGGTTTCAACCCGCGCCACGCCGAACACCAACCCAGGCCCACCCCATCTCATCCCCCCCCATCTCACGCCGAGCCACGGCCGTGTGGACGTTGAGCCCCACGCGCTTGCATTCGTCCACCGCCAAATGGAGGCGCTCCAAGTCGCTGGCATCGCGGATGCGTCGACCGAAGGCGGCCTGCAGCTCATCCTCTGCCGAAGACACGGTCGACCAAGGTGGCGTGACACGGCTCAGGATTTAGGGGAGCATGTCCTCCACCCAGTGCATCATGTATCGGTTTATACATTGTGTAGCCCCTGCCGGGTTGGAGGGCGATTTTAGGATGCATGCAATAGTCCCTATAGGGTGAGTTTGAGCATTGACTTCTGTCGCCCGGAAGGCTTCCTGATGATTGCCTGTCCAATCACCATTGATATTTTTGGGCGTGTGGGTTTGTTCCAACCAGTCGAAACTCCTGGGCCTGTACTCGATTTACCTCCGATGAAACAACCAAAGGAATGCTAGATGGAATTGGATGACCTAAACTCCCTGGAAGAGTCATGCAAGTGGTTGCCATGGCTCATTGGATGAGGCTCTTCCTCTGTCATCGGTGGCACGAATGGATTTTGCCGCCTTTTGGGGGGCTCCAGAAGTCTGCCCACGCCGGTGACCGGAGGACCCGGACGTCCCGGACCCTGTCGTCCGAACGGATCAAACCGGAGACGAGAAGTGCAAGCGAGGCAACCGACGTGTTGAACGAGATGGAGTGCCAGTGTCCGCGCCGGTGGCACCGAGACGGTTCTGGTGCAGCGAGACGGTTTCTCCTTCGAAAAACCCCCCTGTCCGATGTCCCCCCAAAAAGGTGCTAGCGATCAGTGCTGGCAGTTCCACGTCCCCTTGGATCATACCCATAGCGTCTTAACACAAAAAAGAACGACCAACATCGACCAACCACTGGCGCACCCGTCCGTCCTCCGTCGGCCCTGTTCCCCCTCCCGTCCATCCTCGGCGCTGCGGCGCAGCTGGAGGAACTCCACGGATCGCTCGTGGAGTTCCTCCGCATCCTCCAGCAAATCCTCATCCACGCCGAAGCGCATACCTGAACTTTCATTTTTTGGGGGGGTTCTTTTTCGGTCCTTGGCGCAGAAGAACGCAGATTTTGATGAAGATTGAAAGATTTGAGTGTTTTAGAGTGGATTGAGAGTAGATGGCACAGACCCCGAGAGGTGGTTTACATGGATCCCCATCTAAAGGACATCATGGGGTCTGTGCCGTCTACTCTGAAACCACTGTGAACATGATTGTGTTCTGTTCAACGGGTGTGGCAACATTTGTTCTCCAGAGATCTCCAACGAGTGTTTCGCGCCTAGGGCTCCTACTGCCTTCGTTTCGGTTCGGTGCGAGCCCGCCCTAGGTGCCAGAGGGGTCGTCACGACCTTGTGACGAGCCCGCCCTGGGGTCGCCCTAAGGATCCAACTCGACTAAGGACAAACGCAAGCATAACCACGGATGTACTCAAAAGGGGGCCATAGTGGCACGTGAGTTCTTGGGATCCACCCTGAGAGTATTGACAACCCCTAGGGCTCCTGGCCCACCTCCTGAGAAGGTGGTTGGGGTGGGTGCCAGGGGGGTCTAACCACCTTCTGAGGATATGGTTGGAGCCCTAGGGAACAACCACAACGCCGCCACAGGCCAAATATGAGACACCTACAGGGGCACCTATCCTACACCAGTGGGCTAACCTATAGGTTTGAACAAAAAACACACCAAATCACGACCAAGTCACCATCTGCCACCAGCCGAGCCAACTGATGCACCTGCACGATGTCTTTCAAGACATTCTCTGCAACGGCGCCGATGGTGACCTCTTCGACTTGTGACATCAGCTTGTGCAATCCTTCTTCAACCTTCAATCCTCAGACTTCAGCTCTGTGGCTTCAGGATCTTCCTTTGAGGTAAGCCATAGGTTACAGTCTTTTGTCATTTTGTTTCTTCTAAGAAGCAAACGTAGCAAGCTGTAACAATTCTATCCAACTTTGCTACTTCAGCGATCATACAATGAACACTAATTACCTAACAGAATTCTCCAGCGGGAAAAAACAGGAAAGCATAACGTGTTTGCCATAGATAAAACAGGTCTCGTGGTCTGTGGGTATTCTCCAAAACAACGAGCCGCCTCTCAAAAACTGCAATGTCATCCAGTGGAACCCGAGTCTGCTTTGCTTCGGCCAATGCCTTTTGAGCCGCATCCAGAATTCGGGTATCTGGATATTGCTCTGCCTTTTCAATGGCTCTGCGAAGGAGCTTACTTTGTCTCGCTTGCATGGCAGCAAGCTTTTCAGAGACATCCACATGACTCCGCACGGTTGATGTGCTCGTCAAGTTGGTGAAGTCCAGCCTGGTGCTGTCGCCAGCTTCTAACTCATCAACCAATGCAAGGACAGAGGGTGGGACACACAAGTCCAGGGATGAAGCTTGCGTCATCAATTTTCTTAACTGAGCTGCATCCCCATTCTCACCTGCAGCAGCAAGCTCTTGCATCAACCAGGATTGCTGCTGCTCCTTTTCAGCCTGTCGAACCAAATGATCTGCAACATCTGTCAAGACACGTCGTGCTTCTGCCCCACAGATTTTCAACTTCTTCTGCTCCAAGATCTCTTTCACCTGGTTGCAATCACTCGAAAGCAAGCTCTCCAACTTCCGGTTGGCAGACCTCTCAGCCTTTCTTTGCTCCTGCACACGCTCAGCAGAGTGTCGAGCTTCCTCCACCACAGCCACCTCCACTCCAGCCAGTTCAGCTTCTGAGATGGCTCGAGTAAGCTGCTTCAGACACATCTCCTGTTCCCGCGGAAACTGTGCAACGAATGAATGCTCTCGTTTGAAGGGCAAAACACATAAAGCACTTAAAAGCCGATATAACAGATGTGATGCGCAACATTGCGCAACCAAGACGAGCCTGCGTACTTTTTGACACATAGTCTGTTCCAAACAGGTTCCTGGTTGTATGCCCACAAAGGCATTGCATTCGAATGCTGCTAAGCCTCTCGTTGTCCATGGACACAAGGCCGACGTTGTTTTCCACAATTTAATTTAGAATTTGTAGGAAAACCGCTCTCGCCAAAAGCAATGCTGTTCAAACATCTTTTAGCATCACCTGCTGAAAGGAGCCTTATCACATCTTATGTCTTTTTGTTGGGCATAGTGGGGTCTTTTATCAGGGCCCCTGTCCAATATCCTCAGAAATTCCTCGACCCCACTAGCGCTCACCCCAACCACCTTCACCAATACGGAGGTCATCGAAGCCCTTCCCAGATGATCAGTGGTGCATTTCTATGGCCATGACTTGTGCTTTTGGGGTGTATTTTTTGTAGATCCTAAAAAACTGTGTGTGTCAAAACTACGCTTCCTTGCTTGAAGGCTTGACCTCTACCTGCCGGCTTGCTTGACCGACCGGTCTTGCTTGACCGGACCTCCGGACTGGTCCGGATGGGGTCACCGATTCGTCTCTCCTGGCGTTGACGAAAGGAGGCCTCCTGACCCACCGAGGCGGTGGAGCTCGTGGAGCTTCCAGCCCAAAGCGACTGTTCGGGCCAAAGCAAGGAACTCCTGCAGTGGGCTTCAATCATCCTTAAACTACATAACTTTATTTTATATAGTACTATATATACACATACTGTACAAATATAATATAACATAATATATTATATATTATATATACTTGATTATATATATAACTGTCTTTGTATATTCAAAAGCCACCAAAGGAGACCAGTTGGAGGGTGCTGGTATATGAAATACCGGGCAAAACGGTGTTGGCATAGGATAGACAACTAGAAAAGCTGCTTCAAAGCATCACACAGGCGCAGCTCAGAAAGCTGCCGGCTTAGCCGCGACACCTGCCAGCAATAGACATCTTGAGTCTTGAGTGTTCACTTGGGGTGAATCATGGCAGCATGGCAGGGTCGGCTGCCACTAACCTACAATCTAGGCATATTGCGGCGTATATTTCATCAATGGATGGTTTGGGACGGGGGGACCAACCAGTCCAGGACTTGCTTAGTTTGTCTCCAAAAGAAAGGCTGAGCAAAGCTTTTTGCTAGGGCCCGCAGCTCGTCACCTTTTGTAGCTCACACACGGTGCCGGTCACACAGGATCCTCACAGGGTCCTATGTATCAATTTTGGTTCACTGAATGACCTATCTGGGCTGGACCTGTTTGTGACAACATATGTCTAACCAATCCCAAACATTCCATGTATGGTACAGATTCACTTTCACTAGGGGTGCTTGAAGAGGGGGGCATACTTGAGGTCATATATGTCATACGCAAAAACCCCTGCATTTCTTTGGAACTAGGTATCTTGAATACCATGCAATGTTTGTATATCGAAAATCCATGTCATATCCATCATCTATTCCATACATCCACGTCCAGGCGGAATAGTGTCTGGCTATGATGCTTCCATCATTGGGGCTGCCATGACCATCCATGACCCACAGCCATGTCTTCTCTTCTGCTTCACCTTCGCCCATGGGGATATCGGGTCAGCTCTGAGTACTGAAGATGATCCGGGGCAGCAGGGCTGGCAGGGCTGAAGCCAGGAGTGAACACCAGTGCTGTCCTGTCCTCACCAGTGCCACTTCCATGGATCCACTCACTGGTCTAAAAACCACGCATCTCCCTGAAACTCCTGGTTCACACTTCACACTTCCATCGCCCTTCTCCACATCTACTCCTGAGAGCTGAAGGATCCTTCTGTTTTTGTGTTTAGTACTAGTGGGAGCCCATGGAACAGCGTCCAAGTCAGTGAAAGAACACCTGGTTCAATAAGCACATCACAGCAAGCTGAGCCACCACCCAAAGAATGCTTCTCCAATGCTAAACCTTAGGCCTTAGGGGGAGAGGTCAGTGGAAAGTCTAATTATCTCGAAGTCTGGGCTGCTGCGCAGGTCGACCTTTTTGGTCACTTTTGGTTTGTAAATCTATTCTTCGACTGAAGCACTCATTGTCAACGCTTTGGGGTTTTCGCCTCTGCTTCTGCACATTGAGCTCTTGGATTCTTCTTTCGCCACCTGAGCCGCTCGCCGGGTATCGCCCAAAAGGCGTTCGTAAGTTGAAAGCTTCTGGTTCACCAGCCTTTGGAACTGTCTCTTCACACCAAAACAAATCCCTCCCTGTCACACCGGCCACTCAGTCACTCCTGTCACACACCCTCGTCGCGACGGCCCGGCGCACGACCGGCGACCGCGGCGCCTCGCCAGCACGCGGCGACCTGCAACGCGCAACTCCGCGTGGAGGCCCAACTTTTGAGCACCTTCGATGGCGAGCTCCAGCCTCAAACACTGAACTCACGAAGCGAAGACACCGGAGGTGGAGTGAGTGGAGCGAAGCAAAGAAGCCTCCCTTTTGTAAGGCATACGATGTTCTGTGCAGTGAGTGGAGCGGATTTCCCATTGTGAACTTGACCAGCTGTACTGAAGTGTAAGAGTGATGTGTTTTGGGATCTTATGGGAAGGGCCTCAGCTGGGCAGTGGCAACCACATGCGGAAGTTCGACCCCCAAACCGTGGCAGGTTTCACCTCGGTTTCACCTCAGCTGATCTTCCGTCTTCAGAGTCCACTGCACTCGAGTGACGGTGCATCCGTCCATCGCCCGGTGCGACCGGGTGCGAGCGGACCCTGTCGGGACGCGGAACCGGGTGAGACCGGAACAGGCATGGAACTCCCAAACACTCCATATTTACAGGTTCAATTGGGGTGGTTTCAGGGTTCAATGTATATTCCAACATGGAGTGATTGGGGTTATATAAGATCTATATACGGACAAGAACCAGTCGCCATCATTGCAAGTACGGGTCCCAACCACAAATCGAGCCTGAACTTATAAGAAAGAATGAGTGTCCATAATATATATATATACCTATGTATACAACTACAACATACCCTATCTACTTGAGGAATGAGGAACCTGTCAATTAGAGTGGGATTCTTGGAATATCCTAGCTGGACTGCCAGTTCAGCGCCAAAAGAACTCACCAAATCCAAGAAACTTATTGAGCTCCTCCTCCTCTCCTCCTTCCGCAGCGTCGATGGCTTCCTTTAGCAAAGTGGCCACCAGTTCCCTTCGGGAATCCTGAGTAACCTCCATGCTCTCCGCCTCATCCTCGATTCGTTTCCTTGGAGTCCAAAACGCACGCGCCACGCGCGCCGCGCCGCGCGTGGCGCCCCACAGATCCCATGGAATCGTCGTCCCGACTGAATGACCTGTCCCAGTGAGGGTCGACGGAGGCCTGAGAAGATAGAGACGAACACATGTGGAAGACGACTACCTGGAGTCGACCCGTTTGTAGCGCGGAACAAAATGGGTACAGTCGATAAGCTGTTTGATGCTGTCTTAGTTGGTGATGAGTCATGTCCCCCATGGGGTCCTCGACGTCGGGTCCTCGACGTCGGGGTGAGTCGATGATGGGGGGTGAGGAAAGATGACCATCCCATGCATCCTCTCGGCCCAGCTCTTTGAGGGATGAGGGCCTGGAACAACCACCATGCAACGAAACACGTTGCCTAGGCTCGGTGGCGGTTGGATGGAATTCCCATCCTTGGAAACCCTGATTTCTCACTGAGTTATACAAGCATGTACGTTCATATCATACCCAGTGCATCCCAGTTACCACTATATAAGGAACCAGGGATTCTAGGTCTGTGGTTTTGGTCTTTGGAACCACTGGTTACCAGCGACACCGTGGTTTGCCTGGATGCGGATACATATCCCAAATACCAGTCCCTAGTTCCAACAACTGGTCCCAATTCCCTCAAACATGTAAACTAGATCAGTCCCTGGTCCCAATGTAAACTAGATTAGTCCCAATTAACAACTGGTCCCCAAGAGTCTCAAGAGGTGAAATACGGACCTTGATCAGTCCACTTTCCCCCCATGCTACCACATTCTATTTCCGAGATGCGAGAAAACAGCGACCGCATGTCGACGCAACAAAACGAAGGACTAATCTGGATTGATTTGCGAATGGGTTTCCTTGAACTTTGACACCCTGGAGTCTTACTCCGTTCGACACTCTTGGTTCGGTCGACCGAACGTGGGGTAGCTTTGGGACCATCCCGGGGGTTCTGGTCGTGTTTTTGGACCGACACGCGTTGTTTTTGCTGAGGTTGTTACTGGCGTGTCATTTGGGACCACTAGACCCGTGTATGACCTGTTAACTTGATCTACAATCTACACACATAGATTGATACAAATTGTTACACACATAGCGTCATGTCAGTCATGTCCAATTTTCTAGGGCACTTGAAGTTGGGTCCGTGGAAAACTCAACAGAATCACAGTCCCCTAAGAATTCGGGCCCTCAAACACACAGGGTTTTGAGGGTCCAAACCCCTGCTATGAGGGTCCGACCCCTGCCATGGAGAGCCCTAGGATTCGTATAGGGTCGTCATACCTATGAAGTCTCCAACCCACGACCCAGCGTCGCAACATGCAAACTCTGCTTCTCTTCTGGGGTCGTGTCTCCTGCAGTTCGGTCCCCTGAAGGAGGTACTCCATAGTCGACGGACGACGCAACTCAACCCCAATGAATCCATGAGACTGGAATACTTGCCGATCAGTGGGTTGATTTGAAGTATGTTTGAAGCGTCCATGCAAATAGTCCAGTCCCATTCCCATAGATTCTTGGGGAACGACATCTGAAACGAGCTTTTGTTCGAGCTTCAGCGCCGCCTCAGCGCGGATTAACAAATCCGATGGCTGGTTCACCTGGATCTCTTCTTCTTCCCCCATGCTTGGTCGAAAAAGCCATGACGCTTCGTGCGTCAGTTGCAAAGGTGCGGAAGGTGGGCAGATAGAGCCAAATCAGATCCGAAAAGCAGCCGGAGCAGCAACTGTGCGAGAAAAAGAACGCACATGGACGAACAACATCAGCACAAACGCATGAAACACATGAGACCAGTATCTTCTTCCTGCCGCAGTGTTGATAGTCATACTTCCTGGCGTGGTTTCTTTTAACGTGCTTAACAAATGACCATATGCAGAACAAATAAAACAACGCACTTGGCACTTGTAGAGTTTTTGACCTTTAAAGCCTCCTGGTCACGGTCTGGTGTGAAGAAAGTCATGGCTCCCTGGATGTCTTCAACGGTTCGTATAGGAATTGGAACATTGTAACATGGACCTCAAATGAACTCAGTCTTCAGTGTTTTCACCCAACATTGAGTCACAACACCTTCTCACAGCAGTGTGCTCCTCTGGAATTCACAGGTCTCCACAGGTCTCCACGAAAGTCCGACCTTGTTTTCAGAGCCCAAAAAGGACCCCAGCGGAGCAGGTGACCTGCTTTTCCGGGTCCTTTTTCTGGTCACTGAAAACCAACACCTCTGAGATGGCATACTCTGACCAACACATCACATGGAGACGTGTGGCCTGGCTCAAAGAAAAAACAGCCCTTTCCTTGACCAAACACGGGGTGGTGCACTCCACGTCAAATGTGCACCTTCCGTGTCGGGTCGGTCCCTGACAGCTCTGGACGAAGCTGGGAGTGCATTTGACTGTTTTTAGGGGGAACGTTCCGGGGTGCGTTCGGATGTTGGAAGGAAAGCTGATGCTTTCCAGTCGGCCCGTACCGGGTACAAAGAATCGTACTACCGAATATAAATAACTCAACAATAGCTAAAGGCCACGGTGTTCCATGTCCTTGGTCCTTGATCTGAATGGGGATTCACTTCTTGTTGCGGGTCCCTGAAAACAAAACATGCATTCATTCTACCTGGCTTCGTTCATACCTTCCTCCAGTCCGGATGGGCCGGACGCGCCCATCGGACATGCGGTCCGCCCCGGTCCGCCCCGGTCACGGCCTGCAGGGAAGCATGATGCTCGGTCTGCTGATCCTGGGACACCAAGGACGTGGGATGCTTCAGCTTCAGTCCGTCACCCCATGTCATTGAGGATGCCAATGCATGTCATGACCGAGGGTCCCCTTTTGGGTGACCGAAACCACCTGGGAGCTCAGTCTGGGTCACTTGGAAGAACCCCGAAGAGTCGTGTTTATCTTGAATTTTTTGCGTATAGAACTCAATGAATCCAGCTGCATACAGCATTCCGGGTGCGTTCTTTCTGGTACGGAGCTTGGGGAGCCCTCCAGCTGACTGGTCAATTCTAGAAGAAAGATTTAGACCCAAACAGAAGGAACCTCCTTTGGCGAGTTAATGGCAACAGGAACAACCATTGGCCTAAACCCCCGACGCTCCGTGCGGCGCCCCAAATCCCGGTCCCGAGCCAAGACTCCGAGCCAATCCGACGCCGTCCGAAGGACCGATCCTATCCGAGGCCTTAGGGCCTTAGGGTCCAGGGTTGGAACACTAGCAAAGGCTCTCATGCTTCGACCCCCACGGCACGGGTCCTCCAGCTGCTTGGACATCTGCTGCTCTCTGGCCTGACGCGCGTACAAACGCGCGCTGACACACGGTCTGTGGCTGTCCATCAACCCCGCCAGACGGGTGCAAAGCTGCTAGAGAACAGCAGGACTCGTATCGAGTCAGGTCAGTTGTGGCCAATGTCTCATGACTCACCACTGGATGCTCCAATAGCAGAAAGTTGTCATACATGCTTCTATATAGTAGATCCAGAAGCACCCGTGAACGGAATGCAAAAATATGCAAAAATGCATGGACCCAGTACAGCCTAAAGGCGGATCACCTGCAACGACCCGGGTCGACCCGGTGGGTTTTGGTATCGACCAACCTAAAGCGCATGTTCGTCTCGCCACACCTGCGGGTCGATGGTGAACAACTCGACTCTCTAGCTAGAGCAGCTAGCACGAGCTAGCTAGGATCTTTCTGTCAACAAATTCTCTCTCACGGATTCTTTGGACTTCTGTTTTGTTTCATTTCTTAAGGCTCCAATTCTAATCCTTCTCAGTATATTGAAGTCCTTCTGCTTCGGCATCTCTCTGGTTTTTGGCGTTTCGGGAGTCCGGATCGGTCGGCCCGGTGAACGGTCCTGAGGCGTTTCGATCCACCCAATCCGAAGGCCAGGACTAGGTTGAAAATGGTGGAGCTGCTTCGTAGGATAAAGCCCTTGGACGTCAGACGATGGTGGTTCGGTAATGAAAATAACAGAATCCAAATGCATCCAATAGATTTATGTTTGAAAGCGTATAGGGAAATTGTTCACTGAACTTTCCTTTCTTTAGTGGAAGTGTCATCAATGCCCCAAATAAGTATAAATAAGATGACTTGGCAGGTGACGGACTTTTGATAGGATGGTCACATGGATTGGTAGAACTCCGGGCCACAAAGCAATGCCGGGGTCGGTCGAGTGAGACTCCATTTCAGCAGACGTTTTCCAGAGGAAAGCGGAGCCTCCCCGGGAACTGGAGCGATTTACCGGACATTGGGCAAATTTGGGCTACATTCAAGTGGGTTTAAGATGTTTTAAGGGTCCATAGTAAGATACCATTTAGTAAATCGATGATTCTTTGAGGTTTCAGAAAGTCATTCCATGAAACCCGGCTTCGGCTAATCTTCCTTGCCTGCAGAGCTGCTTCCAGCTGAGCTCTGTGGAGCTTCTCTTCCTGCGACGCGTGGATTCGTTTGACCAAGCCAAACACCTCCGACCCTCATTCTGGGGCTCCAAGTACTTCCTGAAGGTGCTTGGACCTAGCTTCTTGCTCCGTTCGTAGCAATGCCCTTGTTACTAGAGCGACTCGCCTGAAACCCACCCCAGTCTCTCACCTTCGGTACGAGCGCCGCGGCGAGGTCCGAAGTAAGCCCCGGCGAAGCGACCGAGGGGTGAGGGGTGAGTTGGGCATCTGGGCCACAGAATCCAATTGTCCCAGGTAACTGGAGGGGACAGGCATGTGAACTTGGACAGGCTTTGGTCTGTTAACACTGGATGGACCTTCAATGAAAGAACATGTCACCGTTTTACTCTCAGGCCGGAAGCCTAACTGCACAAAACCCGGCTAAGGTGCCAAGGCCACTTTGAGAAGGGCTTTCCTATAATTTGTCACACCATGGTCACACTCAGCTGTTGACTGTTTGCTTGTGCCTTATCATAGAGGGACCAGCGGTGGACCAACAAACCGAATCGTGGGAGGATTGATGAACACGATTTCTATTATGACCTCATTTTTTCTTTAA